AGCACGGCCCTTACCGTCCTGTAACCATGACTTCGGGAGAACAGGACGCGGCATCAGTAATGTCTGTAGCTCAGAGCGAACTACCACAACTTCATGGATTGCCTCATCCATAGACCACTGTTCTTCATTGCAAAGGAGTGCAATTTGACGCCACAGTCGTTGGTCTGCAAGTTGGGCTTCCTCCACTGTGGGACCTCGGAGAAAGGATTCAGCAGTGTAGCGCTCGTAGCAACGGTTAACAAATCGCCGATTCATCTCCTTTAAGGTGTGCAGATGGGCACCGCCGCAAAGTGCAATGGCATAGGCTTGCAAATTCAGAAGTTCCTGCATCAGGCATTTTCCAATGCTGGGTCCCGGGATCTCACGCGTAGGCACGTCATCAAACAGTAGTGACTCAAGACGAGGGGCTTTAGACGGACGACGCATGGACTGTTGTTCGTGCTGCTCCTCCGACAGTCGGAGTTTCCATGGTATGTATCGCCATGAGCGATCCTGGAGCTGCTTGGCGACTAGCACAAGCAACCGGGGACTTGGCATCGACTCGGGGCTAAGGCATTCGCTTGGGTAACGAGGGGCTAAGGCATTCGCTTGGGTAACGAGCGTTGAATCATGGCACGCACAGCGTCTGTGCCCAATTTCTTGGGGAACATTTCAACCCAACCGGAGTCCTGCACATGCTGGGGCTGCGGGGCGGGGCCCGGCAGCGCGCTTGACGAGACTGGGTCGGACATACCCTGACACTTCTTCCATAGCAAGCGGATACGCGATGTGACCAACACACGGGAGGGCTCTGCGAAAAAATCCAAGGTGTCTAAGAACCCTTCAAGATTGGCAAGGTCCGTGGCCACGCAACCAAACTCTTGCGGTGTGAAGGAGGCGAATGCCTCATGCGTACACTCTGGGATGCCCGATTCGGCAAGAAGCTGCCACATGCTCGACGTCTTCTTGTCTTGCTCCTGCTGCGGCAGCCACTCAAGCTGGAGAGGAGGGGGCGACTGCCACGCATCACCTGCATCCCACGCATCGGCACCAGCATTGCCCCACACATCCATGACTGACAACTACAGCCAGCAACTGAAACGCGCACACTTCACACTCAAGCACAACACATGACAATGACGCTCAAGGGGATAGCTAGCAGGGCCTTGGTCCTTTCAAAACATATGCGTAGATAACACCAACATTTCAACATGGAATTGCTATATTAGCACAGCGCAGATACCTCAAAAGACTCAACTTTACAAGATTCAACTTTGCACCACGCACCAACCTAAGCTACCCGCATGTTGCACGCTTGAAACAGAATGGACTGCGATCCAAGACACTCAAGCATTCACATGTGAAGCGAAAAGACAACATGTAGCTGCAACTGACTAGTCATGCCCAGATCCCTATCCTGGCAGACACACACACACATGCACAACACACATACCACTGACATGGTGACACAAGACTCTGCGGCGTGCCCTTGCTCGCGCGACTACAACTCGGCAGTGCCACAGACGCCCTAGGCCTTTTTTCGGTTGGGACGCTGCCAGTCCACAAATCCTGCACCCAACAACAACCTGGCCGTAGCAGACACGGCGCAAGCGCATAAGCGCACAGGGAATGTTTTCCCACACGTAACTCACCGCAGCAACGCGGTCGAGACAGTGGAGCTTTCTCCACACAGAGCCGTAAAGCCACCAAATGGCATACCACCTTACAAACGGCGCCCGCCTTTCACCGCTGCAACGCGGCCGAGACACTGGAGGTTTCTCCACGCAACGCCATCAAGTCACCAAATGCCATCACCGCAGCAACGCGGTCGAGACAGTGGAGCTTTCTCCACACATTGCCATACAGCATATCCCCCATGCCAGAACACACAACTGGTTGCCGAAAACAATTGCGCTGACGCCACTATAGCCCCGGCTGGCTACAGCAAAACCTAGACGAGCCCCAAGCATGTCTAACACACGAAGCTAGCAACCAAGCCGAAGCTTGCAACATGCACGATGCTGGCACAACCATGCCCCCGAAGGAGGCTGCGCAGCACACACAGGATCGGCTAGATACGCTCCACACGCTGCTCTGACAGCCTTGCTGTCAGCACTGTCAGCCTCCCGCGGCTTAGCGACGTGGACTGCCCCTTGACCTGAACGAAGCCAGGCGATGTCTTGAGGAGGCCCCAGAACCTCCTCCATTCTGGCATCATCCTCTTCCGCCTCTGATTCACTCTCATACATGGTCACCGGGCGCGGCACAGAAGGCTTGGGCACAGGACACCCTGTATCGCGAGGAACATCAGGCACGCCAATGGGCTCAAGTGGAGACACCAAAACAGGGGAAACTTTGCGCGGAGACGAATGTACGAAGGCAGGATGTTCTGCAAAGCACGGGCACTCCGGCATGGCAAGGTCCACCGGATCCGAACGCAACGCGGCTTGCGCGCCCCTGGCAATGGGAGTAGACGGAAGCCACCCCTGCCTGATCGCACTGAGCAAGCTCTGTTGAGCATCCAGCGCACACCACGTGTCATCCCGAGTATAGAGTTGAGTACTCCCCGAGCG